TTCTATTATCATTATTATTATCATTGTTATTTTTTATTATTGTTGTTGTTAATATGATCACTATTATTCTGATTATTTCATTGTTATTATTATTATTTTTGTTGACTTTATTATTATTGTAACTCTAATTTATTATTATTATTATTGTTGTTATTATTACTATCATTATTATTATTATTATTATCATTGTTATTAGTTATTATTATCATTATCATTATCAATATTATTTTTATCATTATCAATACTATTTTTATCATTATCAATATTATTTTTATCATTATCAATATTTTTTTATCATTATCAATATTATTTTTATCATTATCAATATTTTTTTTATCATTATCAATATTATTTTTTATCATTATCAATATTATTTTTATCATATCAATATTTTTTTTTATCATTATCAATATTTTTTTTTATCATTATCAATATTTTTTTTATCATTATCAATATTTTTTTTTTTATCATTATCAATATTATTTTATCATCGCCACCATTATCATCATCATTATTGCTATCAATATCGTCATTGTGATTGTAGTCCTTAGCCCTTAATTAGAGCCTCGCTGCGCAGCGGGCGGCGCCCACGCACTGCTTTGACCACGGGCAGGGTCAAGGGCATGGCGGGGCGGCAGGGCCGGGGCAGGGGGCATAGGGCGTGCGGGCTATTTCTGGGGCTATTTCAGGGGGCAGGGGGAGTGATAGGGCTATTTCAGGGGAGATGATAGGCTATTCAGGGGCTATTTTGTTGATAGGGGCTATTTCTATTTCAGGGGGAAGGGGAGTGATAGGTGCCATTTCAAGGGAAGGGGGTGCTAGGGCTATTTCAGGGGGAAGGGGAGTGATAGGGCTATTTCAGGGGAAGGGGAGTGATAGGGGCTATTTCAGGGGAGGGGGGGTGATAGGGGCTTTTTTAGGGGCTATTTCAGGGGAAGGAGAGTGATAGGGGCTATTTCAGGGGAAGGTGAGTGAGAATGCCATTTCAGGGGGAAGGGGGCGCGCTAGGGGCTATTTCAGGGGCAGGGGAGTGATATGGGCTTTTTCAGGGGAGCAGGGAGGGGCGCTAGGGGCTATTTTAGGGACAGGGGAAGGGTTTAGAATAAGTAGGAGAGGGAAAATGGCAAGGGAAGATGACATAGGGAGGAATAGGAGAAGAGAAGGAGGGTTAGAAGAGAGAGGGGCAAGGGGTAGGGGGTAGAAGGGAGGGGAGAGGGGGGGGAGAGGGTAGAGAGCAAGAGCAGGGGTAGGGACAGGGGACGGGAGGGGGGAGGAAGAGTGAGGGGTAGGAGGTAGGACTCAGGTAGGGGGGGGGGATTGAGCAGAGGTAGAGAGCAGGGCGACACAGGTAGGGGATAGAGGTGGATGGGAGGACAGGAGGCAGGGGGGGGGGGTAGGAGGAGGGGCAGGAAGCAGAAAAGAGAGTGGGACCAGGGACCAAGGACCAGGGGTGGGGGGGGGGGGTGACAGGGGTCAGAGAAGAAAGAGAGGACAGGGAACCAGGGTGGGGGGGGGGGAGAGGGAGGCAGGGGGCAGGAGGCAGAAGGTAGGGGTGGGTTTAGGGGAGAGGGGGGGGGGGTGCCAGTGCCAGTGCCAGGGTCATCCGCCTTTGGTCTTGTTGATTCCTGGAAGCCCTCTGCATTGATCTTGCAACAGGGGGGGGGGGGAGGAGGAGGGGGAGGAGGAGAAATGTCTCAGGAAGGAGGGGGGGGGGGGTGGGGTGGGGGGGAAGGAGGAGGGGAGAAAGGTCTTAGGCGGAAGGGAAGGGGGGTGGAGAGGGGAAGGGGTGGTAGGGGGAGGGTGTCTGAGGGAGGGGGGAGGGAGGGGTGTCTGAGAGGGGGGGGAGGGTATGTCTGAGAGGGGGAGGGGGGAGGGGCGAGGTGGGGTCAGATTTATTGATTTCAGATTTTTTTTTAAGTACGGTTGTTGATGTTAGTTTATCATTACAATTTTTGATTATTTTTTGGGTTGTTATCATTGCTGTTGTTATTTTCCTCATGGTGTTAAGTTGTTATTGTTATTATGGTTATTGTTGTAATTGTTGCTGTTATTACTACTGCATTTTTATTTTTATTTTCTTATTGTGATTTTTAATGAGTTTCATCACCATTTTAATTTGTAAATTTTGTATGAATTTTTTTTTGTTATTATATGATAAATATTAAATGTTATTATATGAAAAGTACTAAATGTTATTATATTTTAAATATTAAATGTCATTATATGAAAATAATTAAATGTTATTATATTTTAAATATTTGAACAGTACTAAATGTTATTATATTTTAAAATTATGTATAAATGTTATTATTTTAAATATTAAATGTCATTATATGAAAAGTACTAAATATTATATGATAAATATTATGAGCTAATTCGTAAAACTCTTAATGCTTGTGTTTTTCTTTACTAAATAGCCTTGAGATTTAGCCTCTTGGCCACGCCCTTCTCCCCGCTTGCGTCTCATGGCCAAAATGTGCCGTCTTGGGCTTGTCTTTTG